AAGTTACACCTGGCCCTCGCTTAACACGGGGGTTACGTTCCTAGAAAACCTCGTGTTAAGCGTACAAAATAAGGGGTTACGTTCTAAAAATTCAAAATTGGCAGCAAAAAAAATTTTGTATTGTTAAAATTTGGTATGTTTTTATTAAAGTTTCATACATTTGTTCAAAATTAACCAAAAGTTATTATGTATATGCCTTTAATAAAAGCATACCATTCATATTTTCAAACTTAAAAGTTGGTATTTAATTAAAAATGTTGCTTCTTATAATTAATTAATAGGTTAAACTTTATAGAAACAAAAAAATGTTAAAAAGTAAGGAGATCATATGTTTTATTCATACCATAATTTGAATTCATAATTTATAATTTTAATTCATAATTCATAATTTTAATTCATAATTCATATTTTTAATTCATAGTTGATAACTAAAAATTCATAATTCATAATATGAAATGCATTTGGTGGCATTTATAGTTAAAGCCAGTTTGTTTTAACATGGTTTCTTTTTTGGTGGCTCCTTGTAAAAATCAGTAATTTTTTATTGTTTCGATATTTTGCAATCGTTTAAGAACGAGGTTTTTAGCGTGTTAAAAGGGGGATGGGAGCAAATTTGAAACCGTGTAAGACCGAGTTCGTGCTAAAAGAGTCCGTGTTAAGCGAGGGCCAGGTGTATTATTAAGTTTATTGTTTTTTATACAGAAGTGAATCTAAATATATTAAATTTTGAACATTTATAAAAAATATTTACGTATATATAGGGGGCTTTGGGGCTACACTCGTTTAAGTTATTTAAAAAGTATCGAAAACGTTTCAATTTATATGCATTTATTATCATATTTATATGCATTATATATCATAAAAGTATCGTAAAAGTTTTTTAAAACATTCGCAAAAATCATCAGGGCACTCAATTGGCTGAATAGGAGAAAAAAGAGCAAAAAGATATCCACGATCATTATCAGCTAATTTCAACCGCTCTCATCCATATGTTCGATGCAATGTACACTCTCACTCCCTTTGCATCGGACATGAACAAGTCCACATGAACATGTCCACTGCGCTTAAGACCTTGTGCTTTCTCAGCCTCATTGCCTCTTTAAATATTTGGTAGTGTTCTGTTTAATATTGCTCGTTTATGTACAAATATTGGCGCATCAGAATCAAAAGCCACAAACTTTAAGGGGGGACATCTGAGTAACTTTTTTTAAAAATCGAAAAAATTTTTTTTTGCTTAAAATATTCTTTAGGGTTTTAAAAATAACATACCAAAAGATAGAGTCCGGCAAATGTGTCTAAGTGTCGAAATTTTCCATTCTGCGGCGATGCCTCTCATGTAAATATATACGATCTTAAAACTTTAAACGCGTTTTTCTCAAAACCACTTTTTTTGAGTTGGCCGAAAACATAACTCGAACAAATCTTAACCGATCGATCTGAAATTTTGACAGTATATCCAAAATACCTATGGCTATCGACACACGAAGGATTTTTTTTTTTCCCCACTTTTTTTTATCAACAATTTTGTGACGTTTTTTTTTTCATGAAAATTGAAAATTTTATTTAATCACTCACCATTTTGCTAAAAATCAAAATATCGAAAGAATCCTACGTGTGTCGATAGCGTTTGAGATACAGAAACTAACAAAATTTGATTTTTTGTTCTAGATCAAAAACTAAGGACGTTAGGTTTTCGGCCATGGACCCCTTTCAAAAAAATAGCGCCTACGAAGACATGCTGCACAGCCGCCATTTTGTTTTCGATTTATTACAAAAAAATTAATTTTGTAGTTCACATCTAACATTATCAAACCTACTTTAAAATTTTTCGATTGGCTTTTTTTATTTGGCCAAAAAAAATTCTAGAAAATGGCCTTTTTTTTTTGCCAGTTACTCAGATGTCCCCCCTTAAATTAAAAAAAAGTATTACTTATTTAATGGTGTCTCAAATTAAGATTTAAATTAGTAATATTTAATTTAAAGTGATTAAAAGTATTTGTGTGGTCCGATTTAAAACGGTGTCTTCTAAAAGAATCTTTCGCATAGAAGCGGCAGTGGAAATATAATTTATTGTCAGTATATTACAAAAAAATATATTATTTACATGCATACATATGGACTTAAATTTACAGAAAATATTACCTTTAACTGCTTACCTTATTTGCCTACTACTTTTGCCTTTATAAACTAAAGCTTTACATTAAATCAGTTTATTACTTAGGACTAAAAATTCGCCTATAAACTTGTTCTAATTCATAAATAACATAAGTACAAAAGATTGTCTACTCTTTTATTAATTTTATATGCCTTCTTGATGTTTGCTATTATGGTTTACCTTGTAATCTGTAGTTTTAATTGGGTGTAGTCCAATTGGGGTTTGTTTTTTTCTTTTCTTTTATTGTTGTATTTTATTTGCGGATGGGTGAAACCTTAGCAGTGTTGCCAACTTTTCCCTAAAAAAAACGGTTTTTGACTGGAAGAACGATTAAAAGAAGCCAAAAAAAAATTTAGGAAAAAGCTTTAAAAAAATCTGTTTTTGAAAACACTAATTTGTTGGTTTTAGTTCAACTAATTATATTATATATGTTTGATTATTGTATTATATTAATAATGTCATCAATTTCTGCTGTTTGGTCTTGGCTTTCATAGCATAATCCTGTTCCAATCATTCGTAAATACTTATTGGGAACTTTATAGGTGTAGCAGCTCTTCTGCAGTCTGCGGTCAGAAACGGGGAATTTCTTCTAAAGCCTAGTACTCTGACGACGAAAATCCGCTGTTATAGCGGAATCGCTCTTTATTTGGCTCGGTAATCAGTGTGATAAGGATTTTTACTGGACAGTTGTTTGTAAACAAATTTTCAAAAAAATATTAAAAATATTAAGGGGGATATACATGTAAGCGGCCAAAAGCCAAATGCGGCCAAAGCGGCCATTTTTTGTGAATTTTTTTTTATAGGAAATAGTCAAGCAATCGTCGTGAAACTTTGGATATAGTTAAAAGTAGAATTAGAGATGATAAAAAAAATTAGTTATAAACAATATTTTACAAAATGGCGGATTTATGGAACATATGCCGTAGCGCCTCAAGCTTTGAGTTGCCGTGCTATGGACACGATAGAGCTCGTAATTCCTGTCCGAAATCCGTAAACTAAATTTTTTTGTATTCAAAACACCTGTATCTTATATTTGAACCTAAAAAACCAAAAAGAAATCAAGACAAAAAAAATAAATTTTGATTTGAAGAAAAAAATTCCATTTTCAGGTGATCAGTTTTCACTTCCCACCCTCTTAAAAAATAGTAATACTCAGTTTTATAACAACCATTTAGGTTCAAATAGAAGATAATTTCATGATGATCATAATAAATTTTGACTCACTCCGATATGTTACATAGTTTTTTGTGAATCCTGTCCAAAGCATAGGTAAAAATGCAAAAATTAAAAGCTGAGAAAATGACGTATTAAGTTTTTGATGCGCCCATGTTAACACTTGTATACCTTGCGTGCATACTTGATTTGAGGCACTTAAAGTTGGAATTCGATATTGAAACTTACACAGTATATTCTTTAAGTAATAAACTATTTTTTAAACCAAAAAAGAAAAATTGCCCAAAAAATGTTGGTTTACATGTATATCCCCCCTTAATAAATATGGAATTAAAATGTCCTTTGTGGGTTAAATTCCATATTATGGGCTTCGCCTTGACGGCCCCTATCAATGCCACTTTTTTCCTTCAACTTTGCCTCCATTAGGGGTGTAAGAATAAATCAAATGAATTATTATATGTTGTTGAGCCGGCTTGAGGTCAGGGAGGGGGGTGGAGTATCAACATAAATAAAAAGCTTTTTATTTAGTTTGGTCCGATATATTTCGGTTGAACTAACGTCAACCGTCTTCAGGGCAACTATAACAATGTTAAACAGTTAATCTACATAAAATTTACAATAAAAAACATAACTTTTTTGACCTACATTATTTTACACGTCCGCTCTGTTCGACGTGGAGTTTTGTACTGTTTTTCTTCTAATTAAGTGTCTGTATATGTGAGCGCAGTTTTCAGTGTCAGTCTTGTAATTCAGTCGTATGTTTGTCGGAGTGTTGATTATGTGTAGCATCTCCAGAGTATACCGCTTCTTGTAGTGTTGTTCTTGTTGCAGTATCGTTGTCTCCTCTAAGTTCGGAGAGTGACCGCTTGTCGCACAGTGGGCCATGAGTGCCCACTACCCGTACCGTTGCACGGAATTTTGTAGATGACATTGTTTTTTTCCGTTGTCAATAATATTGATTTCGTTTTATTAAAAAATTCTTTTAACGTGTTTGTTGGCTTGTGGACATATAAGTTTTTGGCTGTTCTGATTGTTTTTTGTTGTTAATTGTTCTTTTTTTCTTTAAAAGAGTCTTGATGATTTTGTTCGGAAAGTCGTTATCATTTGAATAAAATAAAAAGCCAGAATTCCCGCTGCCCGCTGTTTGTAAATTTTTCTAGCAAATGGCATTCAGAAAAAGCCAGATTTTACGGGAAAAAAGCGACTCTGGCAACAGTGAACATTAGCAGCCTTCAGAGATAACTCAGGATTAGCCAGAATTCGTTCCTATTATTTGGGTCATGTATTATTGCTGAATGAGATTTCTACTCGGTCTCAGAGTTTCATTCTGTAATCTAATATATTACTGTTAATTTATCTTAGCTTTCAAATTCAGAAATAATAATATTAGTATCGCCAGTTCCGTGAATCTCTGTAACTCGTCTATGCCTGCGGATGAGACGGAGGCCGGAGTAAAGATTACAAATAGAGATTACGAACAGAACTTCTAACTACTTCTACTGACTGCGGTTGACACCTTGGTGAGTGCTACTAAAAAATGTATGCTTATCTCAACCAAGGTATTTTTTTTTATTTTTAAAAAGTTTGAAAGAGTATTATAAATAATACAGTTGTAATTACTTAATAAGTCTTAATGGTTAATAATGTTATAATAATTGAATTTCTTTTTCAGGCCGCTCAAAAGTTTTACTCGCTTCTGGTTCTAAAAAAATTTAAAGTACTTCACATTACTCAACCTGCTCCCTATGCAGATATAACAATTACACGAGGACAAACCTTTGAAAATCCAAAAATTTAATTCGAACCATCAGGAAAAACGCATCTGTTTTACTTATTTGTATTACATATTTTAAATTATAAAAATGTAACGTTTTTTATATTCTATAAAAAGTATCCAAAACCAATTAAAATTAAAAATATGGTTATATACTCAAGGGGTTAGACCACAAAGATATGTAATGAAAAAGTTTAGTGTAATTTAATTTTTAACTATGTTAATAAATTGTGTATGACAAGCGCAGGAATACTGTCTTAAAAAACACAGGAGCTCACTATATTATACAAGAAAGAATAGAATAATACTTTTAGGTCCGTATTTTAACGACCAGGAATGGCTACTTTAACTTTAACAATAGCTCTAGTTAATATTAAAAATTATAACATATAGGTAAATTAATTATAATATAAGATAAAACTATGTATTAAATATTTTTTCATGAATAATTCAGACGAAATGTAAAATATTTTAATTTATTTAATGTTGGTATCGAGGTCTAACCCTGTATTTTTGGTTTTGAACGTAATAAATTTCAGAAAAAAGTTTTCAACGCTATACAAATGACGACATCTGCTACCTGGAAAAAAAGTTTATGAAGTGAACATAAACAATTTAAATAACTTAAGTCGTAATTATAAAATAAAATTTGTAGAAAACAAATAAATCTAATAAGAAAAAATTATATAAATACATACTACATAAAAAAAATAAAAAGTACCTTTCAAGCGGTTTTCAGCGGAGGTTGATTAAAATTGTTGCATTTGGGCGGTAATCGATAGCCGCCGGCGAAACAAATATCGTCTGGGATGCTCACCAAAGATAGGTTGGCAGGTCCAGGAAGAGGGGAAGTGGATCGCACCTAGAGCGTCTCATACGGTCCACACCGAAGGGGAAGGTGGGAGGTATGTGTCAATCGCGGGAGCTACACCCACACCAAGGCACCAAAGAGTACTGGCCTTGGAAGCGGTTCTCGACCCCGTGTGAGAGAGGCGAGAAAAGTGGGTAAAGGAATTGGTGGGAACCGAGCCTATATAGGGCAAGGTGACCGCTAATGGCGGCCAGTAAGAGAAAAACGGAGCCGGAATAAAAATCTAGAAATCTAAAAACCTAAAAACCAGAAAACTTGAAAACCGAAATAAAACCCGCAAAGATCGGAAAAAATCCAAAAAAGTATTTTACGGGAAAGTAAGAAAATATATATTTTGGACGGGAGTGCGGAAGAAAAAAACAAACCACTAGGAGGAGACTAAACGGAAGGCAACCGGAGCCAGCCGGAAAGCCACGGAGCGACCAGGAGCCGGTCGCCAGGCAACCACAAGAAAGAAGGGAAACAGCTGGGCAGGAAAAAAGTGAGTCCGTTCCAAATGGAACAAAAATTATATATTATATAATTATATATATTATATATATTATATATTATATATTATATGTACTGAAAAGGAGAAATAAAGTTTGTTAATTAGTTGTATGGCGAAATTAATATGTATGTTTATATAGGCGATTAAAAATGTTTATAATGATGAGCTGCTAAGCGTTTTCGATTGGGGGGGGAAAAGGATAACCCGTCAGTAGCCAGGAGTAGGCCGGCGAATTCCGCCTGCCAAGGGGAGATCCGCCGAGAATGAGATTCCGGGTCTCTGGAAGGGAGGGGCGTCCAGGGCGATTCCAGCCGAGCCCAAGCCTACGTTCCGAGAGAGAGAAAGAGAGAGAGGAATTAGTCCCGCAGTAATTGTTGTATAAAAAAATGTAGATTGTTTACCTTTCTTGTCGGTCTTTGTTTTTCGGTATTTATATTTTTTTTTGCGGATTCCAGATCAGCTGGGGTTTATGGTGCGACCTACGGGCGAATGAGGAGAAATCCCTCCTGAGAGGAGACTGGCTAGCCGGCCTTGCCCCATCGAGAAAACGACAGGTCGTAACATAATGGCGCCCAAATATCAAATAGGTAGCGAGGTGGCGAGCGTTCTTCCGAAAAGGACAATCGCACCCGCACCCGCAATATAAAATAAAATAAATAAATAATTAGTTCGTATAATAATTAATGTACTAGGTATTAAGTAGAAATCCTGTCTAATTTTAACTCAAGTGACCAGGGCATTAATAATATGTATGTTATACTTGTAGCACTGGGCTAATTTTGTCAAAATAAATATAAATATAAATGCTGTTGATGTAAAAACAAAAACAATATCTTCCAGCCGAGGGCTGAAATCCAGGTGGTCCGGCTGTCAAGGTTGAAATGCGATGCGATGGCTTATGTCGGTGGTTCCGAATGCCGTGCATAATAGCTCGCCGCAGGAAAACCTGGGCTGCTGGAAGAGAAAAAATCACAAAGTAATTGTCCAAATAATAAGTTTTGTTTGTAGTTAAACTCACCTAAGAATGGGAATAGGGACGGCACTAGCGGCGAAAAACGTCAGCTAGGAGGCTCCCTATCGTTGCCTGGTGGACGTGGGAGGATCTCCAAACAGAGGATGAAGTATGCAATAGGCTCCTGCCGGGTGGCCCATGGCCAAGGCGCAGTAGGGGGTGTAGTAGGCGGTGCAGCAGGGGACAGCTGGAAGTTGTCTCCCCCACGCCGCGGAATTCCAAGTGAGATCGCATCATCGGTGAATGCCGCGGTGGCCCAGGCGTACGAGACACACCGGGCGGCGGCGTCGGATAACTTCAGCCGGACGCTGCAGGAGGAAATTCGAAATGGGTTCCTGGAGATGATGACAATGATCATCCAGGTGATCCAGCCGTTAAAGGAAACGGCAGTCGCAGTCCGGACGCTGCAGCAGCAAGCGGGCCATGCTGACGTCGAAGCCGATGGCGGATACGGACCTAGACCCAGACGCCAGGAGGCGGGAGCCGCCACGGGAGCGTATCCAAAATCCAAGCGGGAGGAGGAGAATCCGAAAATATCACCACCGAAACCTCCGAGGCGACACAGCGGCCACGCGGACTGGGACGTCGGCGCCGGATGGTTTCCAGGCGGGCAGCAGCAGACAACCGGCGGACAGCGATCCAGATGTCAGACGGCGGACGACGCCAGAAGAAACAGCGCCGAGGGCCTTTGGGGTCCTGAAAGAAGAGAGGGGGCGGTGAGAGGTGTGCGAATCGAAAAGTGGGAGATCGTCGACGGCGACCCGAACAAGCTCGCCGTAGAAGACTTCGTTTTCAGGGTGGAGTACCTACAACGGCAGTCTCGGTGTTCCTGGGACCAGGTGCTGGGTAGCTTCTACCAGCTGATGCGAGACCAGGCCGCCGAATGGTATTGGCAGCAAGTAAAGGAGAATCCACCGCAGACCTGGGACGACCTAAAGGAGAGCCTGGTGGCCAGATTCAGTGGCATAGGCGGCGAGTTCGAGAGGCGGCGAATCTGTGGAGGAGTATTTCCGAGCGATGCGGCGGCTGGGTAACCGACTGATGGCACCCATTCCGGAGTCAGAGATGATCCGAATTGTCAAAAAGGGACTTACCGCCGAGATTGCGAGATTCGTGTATGCCCTTAGGGTATACAGCGTGGAGCATCTGCGTGAGGAGTGCCTGGAGGTGGAAGAGGCCTTCATGAAGCGGGAGGTCAGACCCACCTATCGCGGGCCGTCCAAGTTCCAGCCAAGCGGACGTCAGGTTGAAGAGGTGGCGGTCGACGGACCCGAGGTCGAGGCGGGAATGGAGGATCCGGTCGTCGAGGAGGTTGCCAGGCCAAGATTGACCTGCTGGAACTGCGGCCAGACCGACCACGGTTTCCGCGTTTGCCCGTCGCCAGAGCGGAAGATTTTCTGCTACCGTTGCGGGAAACCGGAGGTGGTCACTCCAAACTGCCCGGTGTGCGCGGGAAACGCGAGGACGAGCGTAGGGAAGGTGGGAGACCCGCGCTCGAGATTCAGGCCCGCAACTAAATGATCCGCGGACCCCAACCATAAGTTAACCTACGAATAAAGATTTAGCCGTTAGGAAAAACAATATTATAACCAATTTATACCATATTTAGCAATCACCAGCTAGATGGGATGCGAACCGTCCGCCGGAGGCTCCTGAAGGGGCCCATCCACAGTAGAACATGTTGGCCGAGCCGCTCGTCGAGCAAAAATTTCATTTCCCACCAACTAGTGTCAGCATGCTTCCAAACATCATTTGCTGGGAAATCTTTGAGAAGTGAACATGGCAACGGACGACGCATATGAACCAAATAAGATAATAAAATAATTTAAACGCCATTTGACAGCAAATTGTTGTAAAATTTACATATTTATTGGAAAATGTGCCACTCCCACTTATTCCCTTTTTTATAGGGTATCAAAGTGAAAAATTAGTTTTTATACCCTTGCAGGGTATTATAATTTCAGTCAGAAGTTTGCAACGCAGTGAAGGAGACGTTTCAGACCCTATAAAGTATATATATTCTTGATCAGCATCAACAGCCGAGTCGATCTAGCCATGTCCGTCTGTCCGTCTGTCCGTTTCTACGCAAACTAGTCCCTCAGTTTTAAAGCTATCTGAATGAAACTTTGCACATAGTCTTCTATATACTCTCACTGCTATATATGTCGGAACGGGCCGGATCGGACGACTATATCATATAGCTGCCATACAAATGTTCGATAAATTTTTAGAAAAAAAAATTATAACTTGGCTGTTTTCCAACATTTTTGCACCATTTCTTAGATATGGCTATTTTATATTATTTCACAATTTCGATAAAAATTTCATGAAAATCGGACGACTATATCTTATAGCTGCCATAGGAACGATCCGGAAATTAATAGGAAAAAAATTATAACTTCGTTGTTTTTCAACGTATTTTCATATACTCTGGGATATAAGCTTATTTTATTATTCTAGAATTTTGGTATAAATTTCATAAAAATCGGACAACTATATCATATAGCTGCCATAGAAAAGAATGCAAAACTAACTGTCAAACTGTAAACATAATAAGTATAGGTAAAATGTAATGAAATAATATCTGCAAGGGTATACAAACTTCGGCGTGCCGAAGTTAGCTTCCTTTCTTGTTTTTCAGTGAAAACAATTTTTAAAAAATATTTTTTATTTAAGTTTTTTTCTTTATTTTTATGTATTTGCTCAAATAAAAATAATTTAAAAAAAGCTAAAAAAAATAATATATTTTTTGTGCTCATATCTTCTACAAAAAAAAAAATCAAAAAATTGATTTTACTGCAGATTCTGAATCCATGTGACGACAGCGCCACTGTAATTGCACTTTTGACAATTAATGTTTGCTTCGAAAAAAAAAGAAAGAGGAAGCGCAAAAACGGAAACACAATATGTGGATGAAAAAGTGGTGGCCTTGCATGAGGATCTCATCTATACCCTTTTTAGGGTATAGCCGCTGATCCTTGCTTAGCTCCCTGAACATTGTAGCCCACCCTTCAGCATAAATGTCAGCTTCGTCCCTTGGTTTCTTGGCGTTCATGTTGTCCAAATGAGCTACTGCCTTCTGCAGGAACTCCGATCCTTTTTGTGTGCCACAAAGATTGCTCATTTTGCAAGCAATAAATAAATTCTTACATAAATTGTTTTGACATTTTACAGCTCCGGTACTACGTGTTGTCGCTACAAACTTTTGCTTCAAGTGATGTTCGTGCCAACGTTGCCATCCATTGTCGAGCATGTTGTTGCGAACACTAGCTAGATAGAATGCGATCCCCGAGTCTCTGCCGAGGTACTCATCCAGGGCAAGCGAGTGGCCGGTTTACTGGACACAGGTGCGTCCGTCAACGTCCTCGGG